TAGATAACCTTCGGAAAACCACCAGGGAGTACTGGACAGCTGTTTCATCCCAATAGTTTTGAACTCTTCATCAGTACGCACCCACCAAAGGGTTCGAAATCAGGACCTTCTGGTTACAAGGCGAGCTCGTAGACTACATAGTAACTGGCCCTATTCAGGCAGTGATCCGGGGTTCCAGTATGAATTCTTGACCAGTAGGGTGCAGCAGGTCAGGTGTGAGGACAAATACTCGCCGAAGACATTGGCTATCGGTCGCGTTATGTAGTGAATCGGCAGAAGTTAGAATTCATGGGCTGGCCATTGAATCGGGTTCCAGTGGCTTGATGGTCTTTGAGGTCTCCTTGTAATTAGAAGACCCTGAGTTCGATCGCTGTTGGTGAGCGTACTAATGATGAGTCCCAAACTAGGACGAAACAGATTTCCAGTACTCCCAGGTTTTCCAGTGGTTCTCTAACCAATGTCAGCTCACAATGAAATTCTGTAACGTATCGAAATTCCTGAGGGAATTCATATCCCTTCTGAGATTCGAACCGTGGTCTTCCAATCATGAATTTACGGATGCTAATAATGAGCTATTCGGGCTTATTGCTGCCTTCCTGCAACCCCTTAATGGATAATATGACTAGACACAAGTCAGTAATCAATGTCATGCGTCTAGTGCCCTATTTCGTGCAGACTTTATTTTAATAGCAGGTCAGTGTTTTGACCACAGCACTGGATAACACAGATCTAAATCTCAGAAGAGATATAAGATCTTTCAACATTTCAGATATACCATACTTACGAATGTCAACAGGGAACAAAACCTGTGTCTAATGACTTCCTGTTCATTGCCTCCAACCATCTAATAACAACAATTAAAAGTGCATCGTGACGAGGAGCTACCAAACGTGACAGCCACATTTCAAACTAGACCAAACTAGCACCAACCAAAGATCTATGCGCGTGACACTAATTACTAACTAGTGGTGAAGATTAAACCGACTTAGAGCTTCCATTATGGGTAAAATTTGTTTTGATAAAGTCTCACAGTGTTATACAGTAATGTTTACTGATAACGTTTCAAGCACAATTTATCGCTCATATCAGACTTACAACTGTCTACTATATTTAGATAACAACACCTTCCTGAGATTCAGATTAATTACTGTTTTTAGATAATTTACAAATCAGTAGCAAATAATTAACCAATTCATTTAGATTTTTCTTGTTTTCAGTTTATTCAAAGTCTTTTCTGACTTCAGGAAGAAAAGTAAATACATACTAATTACAGCGTAAGCCCAAAAAAAACACAACAAATAGCTTGTACATTGTACATTGAATAAGAGGCAAAAAAAACATTGTCTTTGTCTTCAAATTAGAACATATTTCGCATAAGTTTCGTGTTGAATTCACGAGGATGGATTAGTGCTGGAAGGCATGAATTTCACTAAAGTTCTCCTTTAAAACAAAATGAATACCCCCTGTCTCATGTTTTTCTTTTTTGCATCTCGTGTTTTCCCAGCATTCTTCAGTTATCGTTCTTATTATTCAATTATTTATGTTCTTGAATGTGTTTTTCCTGTACTTGTTAAATTAGTTTAACTGTTTCTCTAAAAAGAAGAAGGACTGGATTTTTACATTTTTATTCCCTCCCCCCCTTTTTTTTAAAATAACCTTAGACATTAATTTGTAGAATTGAATTTCCTATGGTATACTCTTATTATTCTTCTTCTGATTCGGTGAATTTTTATCACGAACTGTGTAGTTTGCGTAATGTATGTAATGACATGCTTCCTGTCATTAGCCGAGAAAGTTTTTAGTTCACACATGGATATATTAATTGTAAATTAGAAGTGAGGACAGGAGTGAGGCAAGGCTGTCTATTATTGCCAATGATCTTCCTGATTGCAGTAGATCGGATAATGCCACAGACAGAGAGTGGGTAATGAGAAAACAGGCATGAAAAGGACTCACACAAAAAGAGACTTGGAGGATCTGGACTTCGCCGATGATATATGTCTGATTTCCCACAAACTGGAAGATATGCAAGTGAAAAGCAACAAGTTGGCAGAACAAGCATCAAAGATAGGACTTCAAGTGAACATAGATAAAACAGAGGTGATGAAGATTCCTGGCCAACACCAACAGCAACAACAACAACAACAATAGACGACAATCAGCCAATATAAATGGGAGGAACCTGAAAGAAACAACCTCCTTCACTAACCGAACTGGAAAGTATCGTTTCAACTACAGGCGGAACTGACGAGGATATCAAAGCGAGAATCGGAAAAGCAAGACAGGCTTTCATTACTCTCAAATCTGTGTGGAGGTCAACAGCACTCATCATCAAAAATAAGATCCGGATTTTTAACTCTAATGTAAGCTCAGTGCTACTATACGGATCAGAGACTTGGCCAGCGCGTCATAAAGAGCATCTCAAACAAACTTCAAACCTTCATTAACAGCTGTCTTCGCTCAGTACTCAATATCAGATGGCCAATCAGAAAAGATCAGCAACAGGGATCTCTGAGAGCAAACCAACCAGGAACCGATTGTGAAACAAATAGGCAGGAAGAAATGGAGATGGATTGGCTGTACGCTGAGGAAACCATCAAGTGACATCACTCGACAAACCCTCGAGTGGAACCCGAAAGGGAAGTGGCGAGTTGGTCGTCACTGCAAGGGTGACTTGGAGGAAGTCATGTGAAGAGGAGATGAAAGCATGTGGGCAGACTTGGAGCAGAGTGAAAAAGTTAGCAGAAAACCGAAGGCAATGGAGGTGCGCAGCTGAATCCCTATGTTCCTCTAAGAATTAAAGGATATAATAATAGTAATAAATTCACTCTTTGACAGAACCTGGAACATAGCGATACTTACCGGTGTCTGGCATTTACCATAATTCTTAACCTGGTGGGGCATTTAACTTCGTTATTGTAGAGGTACTGTTACAAGGTCTGTCTGTGAATTCAATGTTAAGAATGTATTTCACACTGACTAAAGTACTCTATTTGTATTGATGCAGCTGTGTGTGAGATTATGGAAAGTGGTGTTCGGCGTTAAAGGTGCCCAATGTCTTCATTACTAGTTAATTTCATGGCGAATTTACTGGATGGTGTAACTGTGATTACCTTTACGACATAAGCATTAACTGATTACCATGGAATACTATCGTCTATTCAAAGCAAACAAATTATGTAGTGTTTACGTGTGTAGATATTAGCAAGGATTTGAAGAGAATAAGTTGATTGGTGTTATTTTGAGGCTCCATGGATCAAGATAGTTGGAATATATTTTACGCACGCTGAGATAATGTCTGCTGAAAAAATATTTGATAGGTGGTAGATTACCTGGGTGGACATTTGTAGGATGCTAAGAAATGACGGTTGGAGTTTACTGGTGAAATGATTCAAAATCATTCTCAACTTCGCAGATGAATTCACTCCTTGACATCTTCCAGGTTAAGATTGACCTAATGCAGCTTCACTTCGTTTCTTCTCCCTACCTTCTTCTTGGCCTTTATGAAATGTGATGACTTCATCTAATGCACCTTTGCACAAACTTTCACTTTGAGATTTCCATTTCAGTGCATCATCAGACATACTCTAATGCTGAAAGACTGGTTAGTGAACACAGCATGTTCTTTTCTATGACTTCTTCATCAGGTTCTATGTTTATAAGACTATAATAATTAAGACATTACTGTTATAGACACCACTGTTGTTTCAAGTCACAGTAGTATCCATAAAATACGTATCAAAAGCATTAGTAAGAGATATCATGCATTCATATGACGCTAGACAGAATGTTAGATAAAATAAGGAAAATAATAAAGAATTTATGAATTACTAGTTTCTACAGCAGGTCAGTATAGCAATACTAACTGGGCCTGTGTTTTTCTCAGCAGAGCCCCTTTCATTTTGGGCCAGCTTTAGTGGACTCTGGTGTTTGGAATACTCTGTATCTGAATAACTTTGATGGTCTACTTGGTAACCGATGGATGACAGAGAAAGAATCTTCATTGCTTTGTTGCTTTTGAGGATGAAGTGATCTAATATGGAATTGTTTGTGGTTTTAACTGCACCTTTACATAGCCACACTGGTAGGTATTCCTGAGTATGAAACACTGAGTGTCTAGAGTAATGGTTATTATTATAACCGACTCTACTGGAACAAGTGAAGTGATAGGTACAATAAGAGGTGGATAGCCTAGGTACTTTATCTTTCAGTGTGGGAATTATAACCAGTTGTGAGGTAAATATAGACTGCATTTTACCGACATTGAACGTTCTTCGAATAAATTTTATTTCATTATTGGTTATTATTTCACTTGTTATGTCACTTTTGAACTTCATTAGTATACACAGAGGTTCTTGTTAACAGATACAAAAGAACTCTTTTCTATTTTCTTGCCCGTATACTTCGTGATGAACCTTTCAGAGTAGATGTTTTCAATAAACATGTCGTGTGCAAGATTATTTTCGCCTTCAACCACATTTTTTAAGCTAATTGATCTAACCCTATCGCTGAGGATCTCCATTAAATTACTGTTATACTGGAGAGTAAAAATGTTTTCATTGTCTTGTCCAACTACATTTTTGAGCCAATTTGTTTCTGTACTTCCATCTAGTCTTCGTATCAGTCAGAGGTGTAAAATGGCAATTTAACTTTGGGATTCTTCTTTAAATGTGGTTTATTTAGCTGAATGTACTTCATTGAATTGAGGCATTATTGCGCACCTATCCAAATCATTTTCACCAAAGATGGACGGTCCATCTACATATGAATGTTTATGAATATTTAAGGAGCTATTTTATAGTATACTCAAAAAGAAGTCTAATAACATAAAACCAAATGAACAACCCGTTGCCACCACATCCAACTTTCTATAGAGTTCATTGTCCAATTTAAAACTGACAATCATTGTAAACTTTAGTAAGTATTTGAATAGGTTCGTACTACATATAATTAAATGCACAACAAATTTGATTACTACTGCACCACTTTATATCTTTCAGATATCCATTACCCAAGCAATACTATCTAGCAATGCATCCGTATTTGGATCGACATACAACAGCTAGAAGACACGTCTGCAAGAGGAATTCACAATCACCTAATATTTGTCCTGCAAATTATCCAAGTGGTTATGTATTTTACGACAGATCAATAAACGGACAGTGTACCCAAAATGTAAGTTAACTGCATGATTGTCAAATTTTTTTTTGATGAAATTTATTTTTGTGTACCTACTAAGTAGAATAGTTAACTGCAGTAAGTCTCTTCATGATAATATATAAGGCTAAGGAGGAATGCAACGGACGTTGATTTTTTGACTATGAAAAACCAACTATTATTCGTACAAGATGCATTTAAATATTTCGTATATATCGCTGGATTCTGCCGCTTAATCATCAGCGTAAAAGCCACAGAAAGCTGAAATACCGCTTCGTCCTATTTTGAGACTCTTCATCAGCACTTATACATCGTAATTCGAATCTGTGACCTTCCAGTCACAAGATAAGATCGTAGACTACCCAGTGACTCGAATCCTAAAGACGCAGTGGTCAAGAAAATTATATGCCGTTGAAATTTAGTACAATTCAGAAGCAAGGGGATATAGCAGTATTGAACTGTGGGAGTTCAATGGATTTCAGGACGGATGAGTTCACAAATAAACGTCTGACGGAGGACCGATGAAAAACAGGGAGTACCAGAAACATCCTCAATTAATTTCCAAATTATCATTGCATTTTGAATGTCCAATTCTTCAGTGTGCTTTTCCAAAGTCTGGTGTTACCTGAAATGCCGTATTTCTATACAAAACTGTGCTCTAATGTTACCTATCAGGCAGTCAAATGAAGTAACAATTTTAAGCTAATAAGCACCGAGAGAAAACATGCAGGTGTTTAGCGTAAAATATAAACCTGTACGAGCCAGTCTAAACACAAGTTAACAGAGTTGACAATAATAGGCGAGTATAGACGTAAATGCCTCCCCATAACTCACGATAAGCTCGTTTTCTGGAATATGGTCATACTACTGTTGTGAAGAAAACCTTTATAGCCATTGTTAAGCAAGGCAGTAGTAGCATTACTATGGTAATAATATGTATATAGTGAAACTGTATTTCAACGCAAGTTTCTGAAATGGTTGAATGACTACTGTTGTTCATTACAACTAATTACACTCCATTTGAATTCCATCACGGATACTGTTCACTAGTAGACATAATTTGTTATTCATTCTAATCAATAATGTTATTGTACTTTTACTAAATAATTATTTTTCCTTTCTCATAGTCACATTTCCTTCATATCAAAACTACAGTTAGTCACTACTCTCTCTCTCTCTAAAATCATTTAGGCATAAATAAACTCATTATTTATTATCATGATAAAATGCGTGTTGAATACATATGGAAAATGGAATCATGATTAACTAGCATATGTTTGCCTAAATCCAAGGGAATGCATATCAATGTTTGTTGTAAACATCACAGACATTTTATTTGATTGTGTGATCTGAGCTGGTTTATTGAAGTGCAAAGCTTTCGTCATCCATCTAGGCAACATCTTCAGTGCAAGCTTTAATATGCACTGAACTTATTTTTGAATCCTCCATAAATGATAATATAATAATTGTATCTTCTAACAACCTTTGTCAGGATTAGTTGTAAATGTAAATCTACATTGTGCGTCGGTGACACAGCGGTAGAATGCTCGCTTGCCACGTATGTGGTCTGGGGCTCAATCCCCGTGCGGTGCACTCCTTTACCCCACTAAGCCAGTAGTGAAGCTGGTAAAGAGGGAAGGTTGGGCACGAGGCTGGCATCCCCATCCCCTAAAAGTAAACATCACTGCTACTGAAACTTTTGGCCTCCAGTTTGAAGCCTTGTGTTCCATTGGGAAGTTGAAGGCATCAAATAGACTTATTGACTTGAAATTTGGATTTTTTATCGTGTGATTTACTCTTTACTAGTTAGTAACTTTGATCCAGAGTAATATGTTTCTTATTCATCTGAGTATCAGGCCTTTAGGAACTCGCTGGTATTTTCGCTCTTTAAAATCTCTAAGTTTTCCCAATCAAATTGGTGTCCGTAATAGTTTAAGTGAATCTATAGGGAAGAATATATGTCGGGACTTTTGACAGCTAATTAATGTCCTTGCATTCTGTGTAGAAGGTCATGTCCACTTTGACAAACATAGTGTTTTCCACAGTTCAGGTAATTTATCTTGTAGATGGTACTGATACTGACTTATATTGCTTCTAGATCTTTTGGTGTGCACAGTATTGAATGAAGTGAAGTTGCTGGTTTGTGAGCTATGTCTACTTTAGTATTCTAGCCGTTATTTCAGAAATATCCTTTTTCTATAAAGTCGAATGTATTTTCTTGTGGTTTTTGTGGATGGTTTCTTGAGCGTAGTTTGATTCCATTATCATTTTTATGAACATCAGGCAATCCATGAACATTTAAAAAGTCAGATACCATGGATTATCTTTAGTCCTCTTTATGTTACCTCGTAATCACTCATAAGCTGTCATCTGCACTTCATATGTACTCCTGTATATCACTCTCGGACATACGCCTAACTGGTCATTTCTCATCCACTTTTCACCCAAAGGCCTGAATAACATTTTACGTCGCCCCATCTCCACTTTTTTCGCCGTAGTAATTGGATTATAGTTTCTTGGTTTGTTTGTGGTCTGCCAAAGGTTCTTGTTGATAATCCTTTCTGGATATCTGATCTTCAGAAGTATCATTCCTGTTTTACTCAACTATTCACTAATTTCTACAGGTGTGGTCTATGATTTGTTCCCTTAAATTTATGCCCAATGTAAAATTCATGAGTTCTATTTTCAGGTGAAATTTATCTGCTTTCATTTTGAAAAAAAAAGTTTCATGACAGATCTCCCTTTTTTCAGTTAAATGGAAAAAAGTTAGGTATGACACTTATGAATATTTTAACAGGTTTGACAGAGAAAGTAGTAACATAGTTTATATAAGAAAGCAAAATAAATAAACTGTATTAAGACTAGTCTTTAGCTCTCTGTATTCTATTCCTTTTATTCATCTTCAGTGAGAGAAGGCAGTCTCCCTTCAACACAATTACTTATCTAGTTTTGCATTGAATGTTCACTTTAGAAAAGGCGGAAAGAAAGAATAAATTGTTCAATTTGTTATTATTATCTTTTCTACTTGAAATACAACAATGATCAGATGATATCGAGTGTCATTCTGTTATATTTCTGTTATTTCTGTTTTTTTCTTCTTTATTCAAGTCGATGATCTGATGAAGATGGTGATAATAGATCTTTCTTTTTATCCTCTTCGTCTCCCTACCACTCTCCCCATCATCTTTAGCTTGCTTAAAAGCATTGGATGTGTATGTATGTATATTCACGCTCTCCCACTCACACACAGAGATGTGCACATTCTAAATTATTGTCGTAGTCAGTTCATCTCATTCCTCTACTTCTTTTTCTCACACTGTTATTTTTGTCTCTGATGTAAGAAGTGACGTTTGTCTTGTCCTCCGAAGAGGGTTTGTCTCATAAGTGAAGCATTTTTTTTTCAATCGCTTTTCTTTCACTTTCTAACAGTAAACGGTTGATTTCACTTGGTTTGTCTGAAAGAATTCTGTTTGGACAGGATGAACACACTAAAAGCAGAAAACGTTTAGATTAGGCTATTAATTAGGCTTACTTATGGTATTGTGAGCTGCATACTTCTTATGGACTAATCATTATATTTCTAGAATTATTGTATTCCTTTACATGCCTAGTGAAATATTGGCCTCCAGGCTTTGACCTTTGAATTTTAAGTGACAGTGGTGTTACAGGCCTCTCGCCCAGTCCTTCCTCTTTACTAGGCTTCATATTAGCTATGCGAGATTTAGTAGCGACTCGACCGAGGGTTGAACCGGGACAAAGTGCGTGATTGGCGATTATTCTTCTAATGATAGACTAAAAGGCAGTATGGTCAGTCTTTTGCTGTGCCTTACTTTAAGCAATCAAACCTCAACAACTTTGTAACAAAAGCACATTAATAACTATTCTTGGAAAAAACATTCTATGCAATATATATCATCCAAGAAAGCCATCTCATTCTCATCGTGATGCAACGTCTCGAGTATTCTTGATTTACTGTCGACAGAAAAGTGAGATTCAAATGTTAGAATGACCATCAACTACATTAGATTCTCAAGTTTTCAGGGCATGAATTCACAGCTACAAGATGGATTTCTTGAAAATATACTGAGAAGCAGTGACCAGAGGAGTCAAACTTATCAAGATGATGGGGACGTTCATCGAAGTCATTGGTCTATATCACTCATTGACAGAAGTTATAATTCAAAGGTCATTGAATCCTGGCCCAAGTAAACGAAAGATCAAGTAGCTGCATCCCTTTAATCTAAAAGTCCTGTTTTTGATCCCTGATGGGGTCGTGGATAAGCACTAATGAGGAGTTCCAGAGTAGGACGAAACCACCACCGATAGTCTCCTAAAGCCACGCCACCGATTTCATATAGGAGCATTTAATGTTAGGACACTCTGCCAAATAGGACAACAAGCATCACTAGCTAAGACCCTGGCATCCGAGCCATTGATGTATGTTGTGTTTCAGAAACACGCATACAAGACCCAAGTGTGGTTATTCACCTAACCCCACCTGGCCAACAGGATGAATCTTCAAAATTCACCTTGAGGGTGTCAGGAGATGCCACAGCTAGTTCACGAGGATTAGCTGGCGTAGGGATAGCTTGAGTACTAGGGCAGAAAAGACATTACTTGACTGGATCCCAGTAGATAGCCGAATGTGTGCTGTCCGTCTGAACGGATCAGTAAGAAGGAGAAAGGACTGCACTACTCGCCGATGCCTTTTCGTAATCTCCGCCTACGCCCCCACTGACTGCAGTTCGGATGAAACGAAGGATGAGTTCTACCAAAAGCTGTCTAGTTTGGTGAGAAAGGCTAAACGCTCAGATATAGTCGTTCTAGCTGGTGACTTTAATGCTCAAGTAGGGAAATTGTGTCAATCTGAGAAGGATGTCGGTGGCACCTATGGAGTTCCGTGCCAGCGAACCGACAACGGTGACCGTCTCCTACAGTTCTGTTCAGATAATCATTTGTTTCTTGTAAGCACTAACTTTAAACACAAGGAGAGACACTGTTTAACCTGGCGACCCCCA